CACCCGTGTAATGCGGGATGTAGGGTTCCGTCAGGTCCCGGCAGGGTTCCCAGGGGGGCTTGGACTTGCTGAAGTCCTCAATGAACTTGGACTTGAACATGGGGGACAGCACGGAGCAGGGGCTCTTCCGAACGCTGGGGTCCGTGAGCAGCTGCGCCGTGGTGCGCCCGTAGGTGTTGCCCACCTGATAGCGCAGCTGGGGGTAGAAGCCTGCATAGCTGCGGGGGAGGGAAGGAGGAGGCGGGGCAGGTCTGAGGGTGGGATGGGTCACCTGACCTCCGCTTGCCGGTTACAGGAGTCACCGCCGCTCCGGGCTTGAATGGGCAGTGCCCGGCACGCGAGGGGACGGTGCCCGCCCAGGAGGGGAGCGTCCCTGCCCGCCCTGCCCTCAGATTGCCACTCCCCAGTACCTGCCACCCTCCCACCCCTCATTCCAGCAAGGGGGTGGGGGCTCTGCCCCGTGGCAGCAAGTGCAGGCAGGGTGACATACTGCAGGCCAAGGTGGACAGAACTTGGTCCCACCAGGAAGATGTGGGGTGAATTTGGCCTGGACCTCCACAGCCCAGGAGGCCGGTAGCCAACTGCACCGGACCAGGCTGGGAGGCAGGTGGGCGGCTGACCTTAAGCTCCGGGGTTTTTGCAGACAGAGTCTTGCTCTGTTGCCCAGGCAGGTGTGAGGTGGCATGCTCATAGCCACTGCAACCTCGACCTGCTGGGCTCAGGTGATCCCTCAGCCTTCCAAGTAGCTGAAACTATAGGCGCACACCACAATGCCCAGCTAAGTTGTTTTTTTTTTTTTTGAGTTGGAGTCTCACTCCATCGCCCAGGCTGGAGGGCAGTGGCACGCTCACGGCCACCGCAGCGTCAAACTACTGGGCTCAGGCCATCCTTCCACCTCAGCCTTCCAATTAGCTGGAACTACAGGCGCATGCTACCATGCCTGGCTAGTTTTTTTTTAATTTTTTAATTGTAGAGATGAGGTCTTGTCAAGTGCCCAGGCAGGTCTCGAACCCGCGGGCTCAGACAATCCACTCACCTCAGCCTCCCAAGGCACGGGATTACAGGCTGAGCCACCGAGCCTGGCTTGAGGGGTTGCTTTTATCTCTTGATCTGAGGGGTGCCTAGTGAGACAGCCTGGCACCCATCTCCGCTCTCATGCATGGAGTCCGCGACGGAGCCAGTGCCCAGCCTTCACCAGCTGGTCTCTGCCAGCTGTTCGGCTGCCCCAGTTTCTGCTCTTGATAGACGGGCCGGCCACCTGGTGTGGCATCCCGCGGCCACGTACCAACAGCGAGGGGTGAGGCCTAGGCCCTGGCAGCCCTGTCAGCCCTGTCCCGGAGCCCAGCCTCAGAGCTCTCTAGCCCACAGGGCGTCTGTCCCGCCGCCCGGTCTGCAGAGCCCCACGGCTGTGGGCCCCTCACAGCTGGCCCCGGCCTGGGGCCCCAGCCGGCTCCCTCATGCCTGGCTTGGCCTCTCTCCAGAGCTCTCGGCTCTTACCCGGGGATGTAGTGAGGTTCCGGCGAGAAGAGGTCGTGTTCCTGAGTCGCTGTCATGTCCCCCAGCTCCGCCCTCGCTGGCCGGGTCCCTCTCCCTGTCTGGCCGCCTTCCCTGGGAGGAGCCCTGCTGCCTGGCAACCATTGTGAAGGGGCCCGGCGCCACACCCCCCAGGCCAGGCCACCTCTTAACCCCGTGAGTGCCCCTGCTTTATAGGTGGGGCCCTGAGGCCGGCAAGTGCCAGGCTGGGAAGAGGCCACGGTGCGGCCAGTGGCCTGGAAACCCTGTTCACCTCAGACCTGAGAAAACAGGGGCGCTTCCTCTAGGACGGGCCAGGGTGCTTGCTGCTCCCTGGGGGCCAGTCACCGACAGAACAGTTCCTGCCCCGGGGGTGCAGCTAAGGGACCCCATGCCCTCTGACCCAACAAGAGGCCTCCAGGCTGGACAGCCTCCATGCGGAGTCTGGGGCTTCCTGGCCTGGAGAGTTGTGCGAACCCTTTCCCGAAGTCTCCTCCACCCAGAGCAGGGCATTGTGGTACATTTTTTTTAAATTCTGATTTTTTTTGGTAAGGAAGGACTTCCAACCATAAGAACAAAGGAAGATATCATAAAGGAAAAGATTAATAGGCGCAACTGCATGTCAAAAAGCAGCATAGCTGGGCGTGGCGGCGCATGCCTGCCATCCCAGCGCTTTGAAAGGTGGAGACGAGAGGACTGCCTGAGCCCACAGGTCTGACACCAGCTGGGCAACATGGGGAGACCTTGACTCTACCATACATCAAAAAAATTAGCCGGGCGTGGTGGCTCGTACCTGTGCTTCCAGCTACTTGGAGGGCTGAGGTGGGAGGATAGCCTGAGCCCAGCAGGTCGAGGCTGCGGCGGCCGTGAGCATGCCAGTGCACTCCAGCCAGGGCAACAGAGCGAGACTCTTGACAAAAAACAAAAGCAACACACACACACAAAATAAAAAAAGTTAGCCAGGCATGGTGGTGCACACCTAGAGTCCCAGCTACTCAAGAGGTTGAAGCAGAAAGATCGCTTGAGCCTAGAGTCTGAGGCTGTAGTGAGCCATGCTGGTGCCACCGCACTCTAGCCTGAGTGACAGGGTGAGACCCTAACTCAGAAAAAAAAAAATAACAAACATATCATAAAAGAAAAGATTAATAGGTTCTACTGGATGTCAAAAAACAGCATAAGCAACACTAAAAGGCAAACTAAAAACCATAAAAGAGTTTGCAACAAGTGTTATGAACGGATATGATATCAGCATAAAAAAACCAAAATTTGAAAAACAGATATCCCAAAAGAAAATGCATTCATAAGGTGAATATTTTAAGGCAAAGACCAGTCAATAAACATATGGACAAAAGGCTGAACCTTAATCAAATAAATGCTGATCCAATGCTGATGACTGCAGTTTCCCAGGCTCAGGGCTGGCAGGGTCAGGGTGAGTGTTGCCTCTAATTTGGGAGACGCCTTCGGGAAAGCGTTGGGTAACAGATCAAGTCCACACAAGATGCTACTGACTTTGACCTGTAGCTTCCACTCCTAGGAGTCTGTACTAAGGAAACACTCTGCTATCCAGCAATGTTGTTCATCATGGCAACATTTATTTGTTGTTTGTTTATTTTGAGTTGGAGTCTCACTCTTGTTGCCCAGGCTGGAGTGCAGTGGCATGCTCACGGCCACCGCAGCCTCGACCTGCTGGGCTCAGGCGATCCCTCAGCCTTCCAAGTAGCTGGAACTACAGATGTACACCACCACGCCCAGCTAGTTTTTGTGATTTATTGTAGAGATGAGGTCTCACCAGGTTGCCCAGGCTGGTCCTAAACCCCCGGGCTCAGGCCATTCTCTTGCCTTGGCCTCCCCAGGTGCTGGGATTACAGGCTGAGCTGCCACGCCTGGCCTTATTTATTTTTATTTTTTTCTGAGTAGGAATCTCTGTCTGTTACCCAAGCTGGAATGCAGTGGCACAATCCCACCCACCACAGCCTCAACCTGCTGGGCTCAGGTGATCCTTCTGCCTCAGCCTTCCCAGTAGTTGGAACTACAGGCGTGCCCCACCACGCCTGGGCAACTTTTTCATTTATTGTGGTGATGAGGTCTCGCCAAGTTGCCCGGGCTGGCCGAACCCCTTAGACTCAGGCGATCCTCTTGCCTCTGCTTCCCACAGTGCTGGGAGGTGTGAGCCACCGCGTCTGGCCAGTGGCATTTATTTTAGGGAGGACCTGGAGCTGACCTCAATGCCCAGGGGCAAGGGCTCCCTTGGCGAAGTACACCCAGCTCCCCTTGCAGCCCCTGTCGACACGGGAGGGGCCCGGAGTACAGCACGTGACCTCCTTACCCAAATGAGGCGGGCATTTCCTCCAGCACGTATCCCTTCATTGGCCCGGTGGGCTGGGGCTGGACAAGAGGGACCCGGAGAGGAAGAGAACGGTCAGGGTGGAGGGGGCTTGTGTGGATAAGACAGTCTCGACCAGGCCCAGCCTTGGCGGATTCGGGGCCAAGGTCAGGGCTTGGACAGCCGCACTCTCAGTTCCAGAGGCTGCACTGCAGGGGCCCTGGTGCCCAGACGGGCTCTCGCTCACTCAGGATCCTTAATCCCTGGCTGCTCAGCTGGGTAGCCTGTCCATCTGTGACACCTTCTGGCCTCCTTCTGGCCCCTGTGCCCTGAGGCAGGGGACAGGCACTCCTGCCCAGCCTGGAGTCCCCTTGGCCCACTCAGACCCATCTGAGTGGGGCTTTGTGAGTGCTTTGCTTTTCCCATGAGTGGGTTTCTGGGGTGCAGCTGTTCCTCCTCCTCCAGGGAGCCTTCCTGGACCCCTCCCCCATCCCATCCCCAGGTGTCCTTCTGGCTGGGTCAGCATAGCTGGGCATCTTGAAGGAGCTGGCAGACACTCATGAGTCCTGCTTCCCTCTACACCCCCTCCCGGGACCTTGGTCCTCCCAAGAGACCCCAGAATGGGGAGAGGGGAAGGGGCTGTCAGGACAAGAAAGGGTGGGTGAGTAAGGGGTGCTGGGCCAGGAGTCAAGAGAGCAGCTGGGTGTCCCCCTTGCAGAGGCTGGCCTTGTGACCGCCCGGCGGCAGGGGGAGGGGCTCCTGGGGCGTCCTGTCCAGTGCTGAACAATGCTTCTCCCCAGAGGGCCCTGGCAACGGAGGAGCCCACCGCTGAGGTCACAGAGTGCTGGCTGCAGGGCCCTCGGGGAAGGCGGACAGGAGACGCTGACCATGAATTTTGACCAGAAGGCCGTGAAATTCCTGGCGAATTTTTACATCAATGGAGGAAAACACTGGCCCCATGGCCCCATGAGGCAGGAGCCGCCAGGGCCCAGCCAGTAACTTCTGAGGCCGGGGGCAGGTGGGGGCGGCAGCCGGGAGGCTGGAGGCCAGCGGCTGCGCATCTCCCTTGCAGG